CATATCCTTGTTGAATTCTTTCCATTCCGTGTTTCACTGCCACCATAAATCAATTTATGAGGTCATTGTGGAAGATGTGCATAGGAATAGATATTAGTGTAATGTACTGGTGTACTTGTAAATATTATTATAGTTATTCCGTAATTCCCATGTAGGTTTGTTCCTTCGTAGATTTGAAGATACATGGGATCAATTGGCGACGTCAGAGATGTGTCATGCGATAGACCGATAAGGGGTTATCGGAGTACGGGCGCGGACTCGCCAGATGAGTGACAATGATGGGCTAGAAGGTCTTAGACTGACGGCAAGAACAAACCGACGGGGTTTTGCAGAAATTTGACTAAATTTTCTTACCCAGCTGGAGCTACTGTTTGGATTTCCTTTTTTCCTTGAACCATCCATTCCTCCTATGAGAAAATGGTTTCTTTGCATACAAAAACAAAATACTAGTACAACAAATATAAGATATTTCTGGAAAATTCGAGTCAAGCGACTTCATTCAAAAGAAACGTATCATTAATTGAAGTTTCCATCAATTTTTTATTTTCATCAACCGTAGTGGACTCTTCTTGAAGATGTTTCCAAATGAAACCAAGTAATGTAAATTAGGGGCAAGGTGGTGTAGCGACAAAGGTCGCAGCATCACACACGCATAGTCAAGGGATCAAATCCCGGATCGCTATACGTCCTCCAAACTTCCTGGTTTGCTTAGTTGGCACTAGATTCGTTTGGAAATAGATTGTAGAATAGAATTAGATTGGAAATAGATTAAAAGGAGAAGATTGTACCATGTCTGGCAAGCTCAAGTCATTGCATAGACCACATACGCATTCAATAAGCCACTAAGATTCTAAATGGAAGTCGGATTCGGTGCGCACTCGAAGAAAGGGATTAATTAACGCCTAAGAACTTCATCCTTCATTCTTTTGATGCGAATTTGATTCAGTTTCATCCTCCTTTTATATAACATTGAAACTGCATGCCCATGCCTCAAGCACCGCTTGTATTTTCGAGGTGTCAAGATAGCCCAACTTGACGAAAACAACGGAAGTAGCGAGAGAAATCATTTGAATGAGAATCCAAAATGAATTCTTGTTTTGTTTAAATCTCCCCCCTCGAAGATTCCACGAATAGCTTGCACTGAAGCCGTATTGTTTTTATCGAATGAAATAGCGTGCAGAAAGCGACATTCGCAAATTATTTATTGCCCCGCGTTATCGCGAGGGCTCAGCCCGATTGACTACAAGTAGCTATAAACTATAATAAAAATAAACTTCTCTGCGTTTATCGATCCCATTGCTATGCTTTCATCTCCCTGCAAGTGCTTTTCCATTTTCCATTCGAAATTCTAATGGCATTTTAATGCTTGTATCGTCTACTGTATGATATCAGGGAACCATCTAAAGTGCAGGCCAGACCAGTCTATTCTGCTACCAACCAAATCCATTCGCAGTAGCTAAGTTGATTCCGGTGGATGACTTCAATACTGTGATTTAGTGATACAGTAATCGCATGTGCACATATAAAAGAGGTCGTAGGCCAGGAAAACCACTGTGTCATTCCAGGCATCAGAAAATGGTCCCCGATCGGTGAGACAAATGCATTAACCAAAGCTGCCCTGTGCCATAACCAGAAATTAGAACTCTTCCCCACAGCCGAGATTACTGTATCACAGAATCCTGTGGATTTCGAAACCTATCTATGTAGTTTAATCATGCGCGTAATGGGAGGTCTTGGCGGTACCCTATTTCCTACCAAATCGACGCTACGGGAAGGTATTGGTTGTCATTGAAGTTTTCGGCTTCGGCCTGCTTTACCGAACATTTAACCTAGGCTCGAGTCCAGTCTGGGACCGATTTTTTTCAGTCGCCCAGCACTGTCGTGATAACGGTCGTATCGCGAAGTGTGGTTACAATGATCAGCTAGAAACCAAGCCAATGTGGAGAGTTATGAAAATTCGTGGCAGTTTCCCCTGTTCCTTTGACCTATTGAGGGAGTAAATTGTAACTGTTCAAATTGTTTATTTTGTATTTTTTGTTTTCTAGCCAAAACTTAACATGAAAAATTGGTGTGAAGCTTTTCCGCAACACTGTTGTAAGGCTTTTGTGGTGTAGAAAACGAGTTAAAGCTTGAGTACTGGCCACTAGCGCTGCTACCAAGCGCGTTGTCCCAAGATCAAGTTAAGGAGTGGTACTCTCTCAGCAAGCCCAGGTAGTTACTCGACTTTTTTTTGAATGACCCTGCCTAGACCATATGGTATGCAATATTTAATTCTATTTTAAAAGGTAGTGTGTTCATGGCGCATTCCAGCAGAAGTTTTGCTGGAGCCTGGCCATTATTCCCCTTTTTTTTTGAAACAGAATGACTCATGAGGGCCATTTGCTATTTAGCGTTTATTAGGGTTACAATCACTCAGTGGTAATTATTTTCTGCACAAGGGCGTGTTCGTGGCGCTTCCTGTGAATTTGGATGGCCACAGAGCTTCTCCGATTTCAGTTTTTTGTTTAGAACGTGCTCGAAAAGTGCATAGGAAAGTGCTTCCAAGAAAAAATTAGTGGATTGTGGGTGTTATGGAAGCCCAACGCAATTACAAGCCGATCATCGGCTTCGAATTCCCTTGCTCTTAAAATTCTTCTACATTGCATTCTGACCTGTTCCCTGGACATCTGTAAAGGGTCAGACCGTGAAATCAGTCAGCTTGGTGAGGCATACCAGTGCACCCATATGGACTCCAAAGGCCATATTCGGTATGTGGAGAGTGGTGGTCCAGCAGGATAACTGGCCACTACGGATTACTTGAGCGCTAGCGGACGGACGGACACGCATGGAGGACGACGACGACGAAGAGCGCCAGCCAGCGCCTGGGCAGTGGCCGGCTGTGGCGGCTGCACATTGATTCTCTCGTTCCATCTTCAACCCTCCTCTGCACCTCTTCCCCCCTCCACCACCCACTCCTTCAGAGCCCTATTGCCACTGTTCTCAAGCCGTTTCAACTACCCATTCGAGAGACCGTCGTCTGCCCCGTTCATATGCGCTTTCTCTTTAAAATGCGGACGAAATACTGCTTAGGTTTTCGGATGCTCTGGATTCACACCTCAACCCATGCCTTTCTATGTATACAAGACCGGTTTCAAATCTGATAATATAAAGACGAATGATCCCCTTCCTTCATTATCACCGATTTTACCATTTTCTTCTCATCATTCTCTTAGCTGGAAGATGGATTGTGAGAATTGAACTTTTCTTTGTTGAAAATTCTCTTCATAACCACTCCTTTCCGTTGAGTTCGAATGCTGCTGGATTAAAAAGGAATCTCGTCCGATTCTCGAACTTTTCGTCTATTGCGTGCTGTCCCATCCAGTCCATCCGATAGTGGAACTCATAAATTTGAATTTCCTTCATCTTTCTGGTATCCCCATTCGAAAATCGCAGTGGAATAAGAAGTAGGTCTTCTTTTTTTGGAAAGATCCATCTCTGGATTCCATTTCAATTTCCAGAGTGGGTACGAATTTCAATCGATGGTTCTTCATTACTGTTTTTTTACCAAACTATCCTTTTACCGAGCTGCACCGTGCTGTTGTTAACCTTTTCGTGCCACTTTTTTCACTGTCAATTTCCGTACTGTAGTTGAATTCACATCCGGCAGCCAGGAGTCAGCGTACTTGGAATATTTGACACTTTTCAGTCACAGCTTTCACGATTTTTAAGTCTTCCATTACTTATTTGCCTTTTCTTTTTTGTTTTTTCGATTGAATTTTTTAATCCGAGTGTTGTACTTCACAGATTCACGAACAACGTGATTTCTACCCAGTTTTTATTTTGAAACGTAATAATATTCGAATAATCAGAGCAAATGCTAATGAAAAGTGGTCCTTAACGAATTGTTCAATTATCATTATACCTAGATACATATAACTAGGGACTGACATGTGGCACACCAGAAGATCAAATCCAGCCCAGGGCAATCAAGTCTCCTTCCTTCCGAAGTCAATTAATTGGTACCAAGCTCGTCTGAGAGGTTACAAGAACTTACTTGAACACTTTCTGGCTGCCACAATTCTATGTATAGGCCACATACGCATTTAAATCGCCACTACCATTCTGGAAGAAAGTCGAATGCATGGCACATCCCAAAACTGGAATTCATTGACGCAAAGATTTTGTCCGTTATCCTTATTAATAAAGAAGGGGGAATTGTAATTCCACTTGCCGAGTTCCGACTTATGGGCGTTGGCGATATAAATAATAACTAATTAATTAAACAAATAATAAATAAAATACGGCTTCACTAGTCGGCTTTGCTTCTTTCGCGTCTCGATTTCTTTGCCACTCAGTTTATAGGTTCGCAAGATAGCGATTCTGGCTATTTTGACTCGAACCATCTGTGACAGTAAGAGTATGGGGTTGTACTGCTTGGTCTCGTTCCGCTTACCGTACATCGTTCCGGTCTCACCTCGTCACTTTTTGTTTTTTTTACTACCCATACAAACTGTAGCAAACTTCGCCGTGCTTATTTCTCTTTTATCATGGCTCTTTTGGAATCCGCTCTGTGTAACATATTCCCTCTCATCCCTTGTGATTTTATGCTTCACTAGGCACAATTCCAAGGCCACGTACCCAATTCGATCCCATACACATGAATGAAGCCTCATCTCCAAAGTTTTCTGAGCCATCACAACGCACAGCCAAAAAACCACGTAAACCACCTGGCTACACCCAATCGGCTGCAACAATAAGCGTGAAATTAGTAAGGTCAGATGTAATGCACACTTCACACACATCCGCATACCGACTTCACGGAATATTCGCTGCATTTATAAATAACTATTGATTCCCTATCTATTTCCCAACGGATGTGAATGCATTGCCGTTTCTATTGAATGTGTTAGTGTTGCAGACATTATCGATAGTTATTGTATTCGTTTTAAGGGTTCAAGGCGGACAGCGATTGTCGTCCAGTGCGGTGATCTGCTCTACGCCATCTGTCATCGTCATTGAAGATGGTGTTGAAGCCGTTGGAATTCTCAGAATGCCTCGCTGATACGCCATGGTTCCGCCAAAACCTTCACGAGCACGAAGTTGCCCTTGAAGATGCCTATAAAAGCATTAAAAACATCGAAACACAATGTCGTGAGCTCATCTCCTGCACCAGAAGTAAGTATTCACTGATTTTTTCTTTTAAACTTTTCTTCAAATTGTGTTGAGTACGATTTTAAGATGCTCAGCCAGTTCCTTGCTCTCAAAAGCACGCTATTCTTGTTGGCCGTCTACATTTCACTCTATCTACAGCATCTTGAACTGTCACCATGTCTAGGTCCTTGTTGATGGCGTCCCGTCACTCTTTCTGGGGTTCCTCGTTTTTGCTTACTCATTGATAAGCTCGTGCTTCCAATTGTTACGCATCTGTCTGTGTCAGTATTTGCCATAAATAGACAGACTGATTGCGAAACAATTCAAATTTTTCCGTATTTGTCTGGTAGATGGTCTGGTGCTTTGTGTCTCGCGATCTCATCATGTCGTTAGTTCATTGCTCTTCTCTTATTTCATCTTTCAGTGATAACTAAGTTCAACTTCCTGTTTTTATAGACTTCCCTTCTTCAGAATCTTCTCTCTTTCTGACCTCTACTCAGCCGCCATTACTCGCTTTCTTAACTTTTCCTTCGCAATCTCTCCTTGGTGAAACTCAAAAGTTTACTGCTCCCACTTTTTTCTCTTCATAATACAAATACCTCCTTTTACGTATACCCGACCTTACTGACATATTCCTATGGTTTGTGAATAATGAGCCTAGTTGGTTATTCTTCCTCTGTTAGTCACGGACAACGTCACTCTAATGAGTAATCATGACGATGGTGTTGCCTTAGAATGGCGGAGTTAGCAACCAACACAAAACACATGTGCTAATGCTCCTTTTGGTTTTTGGGCAGATGATCAGATTGTTTCCATAAAGCATAATCAATATCTGTTCAGAACTCTCACTTGCTCAGCGTGCTTTTGCAAAAACTCTGACCGAATTCAAAATCGAAACTGTGGGCACAACACAAACAGATGACGAAAGAGTCATTGGTAGGTTTCGCGACGATTATGTATCATTTTTTCGCCGGTTGCTATATTGGTCACTTAGAAATTCATCGAGAAATTTCAGGAAATTGCCTCAGAGAGTTCGGCAAGCTCATTAATCAAGTTGAAGAGGAGCGCACGAAAATCCTCAATGAAGCCGAATCTCATTATTTGGAACCGCTGAAGAAGTACGTGCAAAGGGCACCATTCTTTTGGACTTCTTTTGCGCTCGTTTATTCTTTTCTAGACCCATTCTCGATGTAGGATGATGAGAACCTGTTTTCATGAGAATTTGAGAACGGGGGGAACCAGCATAAAGCAGTGGGGGAATAGTGGATTTGTAGTATCTTGCACCATTCATGAGCTGAAGTGGGGTCGAACGAAAGTCCTAATTCAATTTTTAGTCCTTTCGCAGAAATGGTTGTCCTGCTTCGAATTAATTTGGGTTTTCAAGCTGTTTCACGTGGTATAATTGGGGAACAATTGGATTCTGAAGCATTGTATAAAGTGTAATGAGAGATCACATACAAGCAGTTGTTTTCCATCGTGAAATGAATGCCCAAATAAAACCTTAATCGACCGATATTGCTTTTTTAAAAGTTTTATTTGTTGTTTCTTTTCTTCAAAAATATTTGTGAGATAAACATGCCTCAGAACTCAGCATAAGACAGAAAGTATGGATATAAGCAGACGGAAAGCAGCAATTAGGAGGCTCGCGCTTCCGCTTCTTTTGAATTCTGTGCAGGGTGAAGGCTGCGTAGGCCGTAGCGAGTTCTTTCCAGCGAACAGCGAGACAGGGAGCGACCCATAATCCTACCTTCCTGTTCGAGCGATATAATGAGAGGTTGGGATAGGGCTGGAGAGGCAATAATCGTTTTCAGTGACAATTTTCTGATATCGCTACGAAAATATTAAATTCCACCTTTTTTCTCCACTTCGGCGGCTTGGCTATGTCGCTGGTCTTTACTTCATGTTTTGGTATCTGCGTTTCTTTGCCTCAGTACGCAATGCAGAAGTACCCGAGGGATGGTGAATTGTGGGCAGAAATTCATGTCTCCAATTCCATGATGATAATATATTCCATGACACATGTAATGAGAAGGATTTTATAATAAATTGTAACTGTGTTTAAATATGAGCCTCCGTGCTACAGTATTGTCTTCAGCTCTTCTGTTAAGGTTCCGAGTCGAAGCCATTGGTCGGACATTGCACGAGGAGAAACGGAAATACGAAAAGGAAAGCGCAAAGTTCTACCAAAGCTTGGAAAAACACCTCCATTTGAGCACGGTCAGTCGATATGCTAGTGATATCCAGTTTTTTTTCGGTACGTTTGGTTTTGCTAGCTCATCATTCCCCTATTTCTTCAAAGTTGGCTTATTTTTGTAGTGGTGTCTTTTGGTGTTTAAAGTTTCGTTCGTTCAAAATTCAAAAAATAGTTCAGCTTTATCCTGCCATTCTGAAATATTCGCTATTAATATGCGTCGCTTGGTGCAATAGCTTAAACGGACGTTTAAGAAAGGCTGGACTGTATATTTCTCAGAAGTCTTGATGGCAAGTAGTATTGACGTTGCGGTGATAGACGAGATTCATTCGCTTCTTTTCTGTTGTCTGAGAAATATATAGATCTAGACCTATTTGCACAGTCTTGCTGAGCAGATTTCGGGATCGTTCTTACTTTCCTTCAGAAAAAGCTCTCAAAACGGAAGATCCTAGTTGTAACAACTATAAGCAGACTAGCACAGCACTTTTACAGTATTAAACTCAAACTATTCTTAACGATGTCTAGACTAGTTTTTTCAGATGCGGAAAAACGATTTTCGTGAGGCGGATGCTCAATTAGATATTCAACAGCATAGCTTCTGCAAGGCCTCTTTGCAATATGTAGCTGAAATTCAATCAGTTCAAGAACGGATGAAGTTTGAATTTGTCGAAACGCTTAGTTCTTTCTTGTACTCATGGCTGACCTTCTATCATGTCGGTAGGGTTTAGTTTTTTATTCCGTTTCTTTTTTTATTTCTATCGATTTGGCTCCATAGACTTGGATAGATATTTTTCAAATCGTTTTATGATTTAAATCTCTCACCTTCCCATTTTTTGCCTCTGCTTTCCTTGTCTTTTTCGAGAATTCAATAAATTCTCAAAAGCATCATTCGGGAAAGGGTGGTCTCACCGCTCATCCCTCTTCATTTATCATTCTTTTTCACATGATCATGAATCAAGTAGAAAATGTGAATGTCGTTCATAAATGGAAAGGCCATTGAGGAAAAGAAAATGGGAAAATTGATTTCTGTTCAGGACACGTTATTCATGAGGATTTCAAACCTTTTTTGGACGGTGTGCAGGACAGGGTACAAAAGGTAAACGTGTTTAAATTTCAAATATGTATGCCAATACTACTATCTCTGTCGTTTTTAGACCAAAGAAAGTTATATGGCGACTATCGCTGAGGCTGAAGAACTAAAAGAGAAAATGCTCAAAGCGCATGCCAAAACGGTGAGCTCTTTTCCATTGAAGTAATTTATTCAACGGTGCTGTTGATTTGCGTTCTTTGAAAGCCTTGTTGCTTTCCTCACCTACTTCTTTTTTGTGTTAGCAGCCTTTCTAAATACACAGCGGCGTCATTGCTAATTACAAATGTCTCAGCAATCGGAAGAGCCGCGCAGTAGCAATTTTTATTCTTATCTTTCCTCCTTTTCCATTGTTTTCGATATAAGATGTATTCCTGGTGGAGAGATGACCAGACATTGCTAGAGTAGTAATGTTGTGAATCAAGTACACGATTGATTAACTGTGAATTTAGTCGTTCAAGGAGGAGTTGTTAACGTTCAAAAAGATCTCTCGAAGCTCCGTCCAAATTCTCCTCTAGTTTCTCTGCGTTATAAACACTGTCTGCGTCGTTCAACTACTTTGCTTTACTTTCTTTTTCATTAATTTCCTTTTGCTACTATACTATCCTGCTTATCCTCCACCTGCTATATTTGGTTTTCTGATAATAAATTACTAGTTTTCTTCTTTTGCATTGACTTTCTGTTTTCTCCGTTCTTTCCCTATTCATCACGTTAATGTTTTCCGCTTACTTCACTGTCTTATACACAAACACGATTATTCTCATTCTATTCTTTAATTGTTCACGAAAGCGGTAGATAGACAACTACGTATCAGTCACCATATCATTAGACGAAAATATCAGATTTTTTTCTTCTGTCACAAACTTTTCTCGTACTTTCTGTTCGTTTTATGGATATCGAATTTATTCTAACATTCGAAATAATCAGACCCAGCTTTTTTGTGTGCACGTTTTAAATGTTTCGAAATGTATAGGCTTTAGCATTCAGCTTGAGATATGAGATCAGAAACCGTCTGCATATTTGCGCTCCAGCCTTTCGACCGGCACATACTCATTATGCACACGCCCACTGTTCTTATGGAGCAGTCGATTCTTTAACTTTTGAATTTCTTATTTGGTTCCCACTCATGAGCTACATTTTATTAATGTGGTCCCAAATTCCCCCAACGTTCACCTCAGTGGTTCGTCCGAACTTTAACAAGTTCCGGATAATTCTGGAATACATAAGCGTTCTCATCTGCACAGTCTATTTAGTTGTAAATGGAGTTTGAGGCTTATAATGTATTGCAACGAGGTATCTGCCACATAGTTCCTTCAGAACTATCTTTTTCGGAAAAACTTTTGGAAGCGTAAATGCGGAAATAAGTGGCTGCATCTATTCCACTATTTATGCTTATTTGAACTCAATTCCAGACAAATGCTGCAGGAACAGTCGCCACAGGTGGTTCTGAGCGTTCGTCGACTATCAAACAGGGTTATGTATACATGCAGGAAAAAAGCAAATTGCCAAGTATGTTTTTGACACTTCGTCGTTATCGATACAGTTTATCATGGGATGTTATCATTGTAGTTATAGCAATGGTTTAATTACTGTGATTTCTTCATCCATTTCTCTTTCATTTTTAGAAACAATAGGAAGAGATGTGCTGGCTGGAAAATGGACCAAATATTATTGTGTGTATTCCAAAGAAACAAGAATTTTCACTATGATACCTATCACGGCTACTTCGAAAACGGTACGAACCTTTATACAACATTTTCGGTTTTTTTTTTGTGTTTCTGTTGAAAAATGTACCAATTTAATATACATTTTATTTTCGTCAATTTGAGGTTTACGCGATGGTGGTGCTATGAATTAAAGTTTAGGTCATTCGGTAATGTCGATTTCCCATGTTTCCTTGCTACAAGGGAGATGAATTGTTGTTCATTTTTTTGTACAATAGTACTAGCCAAGGGTTTTCCGTGAGGAGAAGGATTGAGTGAGTGTGGAGCATGAATAGGACTCACAGTTTCCCAAAGCCTGTCATCTGGTGTTCTTAATAGTTCTCTGGTGTGCACGCTTGTGGTGATAAGTCCCTTATCAACAACTGACAGTTTACGCTGCATCAGGCCGAATTTGCAGCCCACGGTGAACTCCCCGTAGAGAACTTTACAAAAAGGGTGGATTTGTCGGTGATACTTTACAAACTACGTGGAGCAGATTTAATTCGAGTCTGTTGCAGCATTGTCTGAGGCATCAAACTCAAATCAAATCTGTGTCATAGAATTTCAATGGAAGACTTATACCAGAAAGGGGAAAATGCCATAAAAACAGAAGAAATACCACACCAAGAATTCTTACCACCCCACTATGCCAATTCACCTTTTGTGAAGTATTCTTTCATCCCTAATTTGTTACAGAAAATGTTAGGGTGGGATCAGCAGTTGTAGGCGACACATTGGTTTTCTCTGCATACATCATGCCCCATTTAAGTGAATTGCCCGGTCTGGGATTCATAGAAAGAAGTTCAAGAAATTGTTTAATAATTTAATAATCCACATCCCCTTATTCCGCTCGCGCTCTTGATTTCTTGATGACATTATTGAAATTTGCATCAGTTTAAGAGAATATAATTGCTAGCACCTTTCTTATGCAACCATAACTTCTGCCTGGCTCTTCCACTCTCATACCCTCTGGCTTGGGAAGTGCATAAAAGAAAACTAATGAACAAGAACTTTTTTGAATCAATGAGTCATTTCTGCGCTGCTCTAGCGAATGATGACGTGAACAGAACTCAATTATAAACAGAAACGCACTTACTATTTATATCTCTTGCATAAACATTCCTGCATTATGAAAGAAAGATTTGATAAGTCTGAGATTTTGAGTGGCATATGACGCAGTTGCCCCGGACTCACTTTGGAAAATTTAATTGAAGGACAACGGTGCTCATTATGGAAATTGCTGAATACTTGTGTTGAATTTCAAATCTTCTTAATTTGGTCAACTCATTAATTATAACAGTGATAGTTAATTCGTTCTCATGCCGTTGACATCAAATAGATGTTCGTCATTGTTGCTGTGTTGCTTATTTCTAAAATTTTAGGATATGAAAGGTGCCTTGGGACTGTCAGTTTCTTTCAAGTTGAAGGAATGCTTGCGGCGGTCATCAGACAGTATAGATAAGAGGTATGTCTAGAAGAAGTAATTGGATTAGTTTGGTTCATTTTTCGATCGGGATTTAATTAAGGTTCTGTTTTGACCTGATTGCCGATGAACGACCCGATGTGATGACCTTCCAAGCGCTTTCGGAGGAAGATCGGCGGCAATGGATTGATGCAATGGACGGCAAGCAAACGGTACGCTACTTTTTGTGGCAATTTTCTAGAAGCCTTCATGTCGTTATTTTTTTTTTCAGGTCTATTCACCTGGTGCAGGTCCTTCAACGACTACCCTACAAAGTGAGTTGGTTTCAGTTATTACTTTATGCTCGTGCATTGGTGAAATCTACATTTTCTTTAATTTTTTTAATAAAAAAATTTTTGGGACATACAAGCTTCTCTTCCTTCATGCCAAAGGTTTTGATGTAACAAAGGCCCTTGCCGTTAGACCTATCTGTATCTATAGCCAATATTTGGAAACCTGAACTTTTCGAATTATTTCTAGGACGTTTTAAGAAACATTTATTGAAACATTCATGCATAATTGGACAAGTGTGTCGTTAGGTTGGGATGCGTCGCATAATGACGCGTAAATTTGGGCTGTGGGCAATACATTTCGCTCCGGGACCGGCCGCCGTGAAGTATGTTTTCAGTGGGATTTGCTGCGCATTGTCCGCTGCAAATAAAGTTGAATCTGACCTAATGGTAGCTGAATTCCGTGAGATACTGCGATCTTATGCCTCACAGTCAGCTCTAGATCGTCAAGGTGTGGTTAGCACCTAATAATGTAGACTTGTTCCATAAAGTCTGAGGTGGAGAAGGTCTGTTCGAGTGGTAATCAAGTTGACAAAGGTGTACTTCTTTCACGAAAGCTGTATGGCAAACGTTAATGAGAGAAGCAATAGAAAAAATCCAATTGCTCCTAGAGTTAGTGGAGAGGGGTACAGTGGCTGTGAGTCGTTTGCCGACTTCATTTCCTTACTGAACCAAAACTGCTGCAGCAACTCGGAAGGCATGAACAGAATTAAGCAAGGAAATGGCATTATTCCTAAACAAAAACAAATGCTAATCTATGGGATCGGACGAAACGAGAATCCTTCGGCAGCTAGTTAATTGTTATTTCCGATGGCATTAGCCATTGTTTTTGCGTTTACATTTGTGGATCTCGCTGAATTTCATGCTCATTTGAGAAGCTCGCAGAAGAAGTTCGAAGCCTCTTTAGAGCAAGTCGCTCCGAACCTGATTCTTTCAAGTCATATCTGTTTCCTCATTACTCCCTCAAGTGATCATACGCTCCCTGTTCTCTTCTATTTTTGATTGTGCTCGGGAGGATAGTGATTGGGAGAATTCTTAAGAGAATCCTGAAGTGCTGAGTAAAAATTGGACCCCATATCTTTGCTCTGCAACCCCGATATAGCCAATGGATTAGAGAAACACCCGACGAATGCCCTATTCGATGATGAATGACAGCCGCTTTCGATTTGTCACTATTCATTCTCAGCATACATGCATCTACTTTAAATTTATGAGTACATTTTT